AGACCAATCCTCCAGAGGTCGATATTCCGGGGTTCGAATTAGCGGGTCTAGTGAAGACCCGCTAATTCGAACTGAGAAGGCGCCCCCATAGGCGCCGGTAGTTCTACCCCTCACCGGGAGTAAGACAAATCGGCAGAGTGTGTGCTCCCCTCGACCTCCCGCTGCGTGGATGGCGCCAAAACACCATTTAAAATACTTCGACTCTAGCGAAGTAATTAACCTAGCTGGAGTTGCGAATATTAAGCCGACTTTCCCCTTGATGTGGACTGGGCCTAAAGGAGTTGCTGTATTCCCTGGAAAACCTCTGCGTACCCCCAGGGTACGCGTGCCCCGGTTGAGAACCGCGGTTTTAAAGGATGAGTTTCTTCTCACGCTTGCAAGAGGTTGTAGATCTAAACCAACTAGCTTTAAAATGTCACTCCAAAGTAACTGCCCAATATTGGAAAGTGCTTCCCTGAGCAAGGAATCGAAAAGCAGCAGCTGAAATTGCCTCTTTTTTCACAAGCGTCTATTTCTAAGACAGCAATCAGATTGTCTCCAATTCGCTGATACTTACAACCCTGAATTAATGCTGTAATGATAGGTCCTAAGAGAGGATATTCATGTTCTCCCTGCAGTGAGTCTGGAGTTGCTACAGTTGATTGTGGTGCCAGGAACATTTTCCTGGAATCCAAAGGTCAAAGGGATGTGTATTTAGGAAAACTTCAGCTGTAATGCTTTTAATCTGCTCTCCCCAGGCATGTGTCATCAGTGTCTTCTTTAGAAGATTACAGTGACGTGAAATGTTAACTACATTTGTTATACTTAACAGTAAATGCCACGTTGACGAACAAGCTTGATTTATAAAGAAACATATGCTCTAAGAACATAAGAATGGCAACACTGGGTCAGACCAAAGGTCCATCTAGCCCAGTGTCTGCCAACAGTGGCCAATGCCAGGTGCCCCAGAGGGAGTGAACCGAACAGGGAATCATCACCGATCCCTCTCTGGTTATCCATCTCCAGCTTCTGACAAACAGAGGCGAGGGACACCGTCCCCGCCCATCCTGGCTAATAGCCACTGATGGACCTAACCTCCATGAATTGATCTAGTTCTTTTCTAAGCCCTGTTAATAGTCTTGGCCTTCACAACATCCTCTGGCAAGGAGTTCCACAGGTTGACTGTGTGTTGTGTGAAGAAATAATGTCTTTGGTTTGCTTTAAATGTGCTGCCTATTAATTACATTTGGTTACCCCTAGTTCTAGTGTTATGAGGAGTAAATAACATTTCCTTATTTACTTTCTCCACACCATTCATGATTGCATAGACCTCTATCATCTCCGCCCTCAGCTGTCTCTTTTCCAAGCTATAAAGTCCCAGTCTTATTAATCTCTCCTCATATGAAAGCTGTTACAGACCCCTAATAATATTTGTTGCCCTTTCCTCTACTTTTTCCATTTCCGATAGATAGATAGATAGATAGATAGATAGATAGATAGATAGATAGATTTTGTATGGGGATGGATGGATAGATAGATTGATTCCGTCTCAGTGGGAATTTTGCTTGATTAAGTTTGGATCTTGGGCCAAAGCTCATTAAATCCAACAGGAAGTTTTCCATTGACTTTCTTAGATCGGGGCCTACGTTGAAGCTGAGCCATGTGGCAGACTCCCAGGATGCTGTGCTTAGTCTCTGTTTTGTAGCTGGAACTCTGTGCTCCTCTGGTGGGCAACCAAAGCCAATCTCTGGGAAAGAGCCGAAGGCCCAGTCAGACAGCCCAGAGGAAGAAGTGTAAAACCACGGAAGAATGAGTTTGTCTGACTTAGACTACGCACTTCTGGATACACACAAACAGGGCTGCCATTGGCTCCAGCAGAAGATCCCCAAGGACGTGGAGCAATGTTTCCTCTGATTTTTTCCATCCGTGTGTGGAATAAATTTTATGTGCACCAAGGTATGTGCAGATGTGCACCACCTGTATAAATACATGCTGCTGACTGTGGGCAGCGATGGGCGCTTCGCTGATAAGCTGGGCGGCACCCGAATCTCTCCCGGGTAGCCGCCCAAGCGCACCGCTTACAGGGAATACTGGAACAGAGGGCAGAATTTGGCCATTGATGAGTAAGAAAAGCAGGCCTCCGAGCCTCTACCATCCCATAAACATGCATCCCTCCTTGCATTTCAGCATCTCTGCCTCCTTTGATCTGCGCACATTTCCTGCTGTCACTAATAGGAAAGGAGAGCCCAGGGAATGCATAAGCAGCAAGGGAAGCATACAGTTTTTATTCCAGATTTTAAAGAAAACTTTTCTCAGGACATATTGCTCTTTTTTTTTTTTTTTAAAGGTCTGCAGGGCTGTGAATTTGAATGCTATATTATGGGGGGTTTATTTATTTTCTTTAATTTTCAGTCGAGATTATGTCCGTATTTTATGCAGGTTCCCATATTCGTTTCTTTAATTCTTTTGTAAAATTCAATTGCAACCAATTCGAGCACATTAACCACAAAAGAAATTCTCCAGCTTATTATAAACATCCTGCCAGAAACCTAAAGCACATGTCCTCTGGAAATAATGTTGCTGGTATTTAGGTTATTACAAAACCTTTCCCACAACACGGGAGTTATTGGGTAGCGTGCCGCCGAATTCCACCTGGATGGCTTAGGATTTCCGGAGCGCTCTGTCTCCGTCAGAAGGGATGACAACTATGTCAGGTTGGCAGCCGTGAGGAGAGGGGGAAGGGGGTTGTGAGAGGATCTCGTCGTGCCACGGCTTTATCTAAGCACGTCTTTCCTTCCACGGTCATCAAGGGACCACCCAGCACCTGGGAGCTCTGAGGTCCAGCTGATTCATTGGAGATCAGCACCTCTCTCCCCACGGTACTAGAGCGAACACCCCCGTAAAGTACATGCCACATTCCGTGCTGTTGAGTGGAGAGTGGCTTCCGGGGCGTGGCCCCTCTTCGAGCTGACTTCACAGAGGTTCCTCTGGGGGGTTTCCCCGAGGCGGGTTTGGAGGTGGTGGGGGCAGAAAGGGGCAGTTTTTGCTGGAATTTCTCCAGGCTCTCAAAAGGGGATAGTGCAAGCTACAGACCACGTCTGGGGTAATGTGAACATCTTCCCTCTTTAGTGAAGAGGGCTTACAAGGCAAACACCTGGGGGAAGCTGTGAGTTGGGGTCTGGCAGCTTGGGGAGCATCTGGTTGAGAGGTCCATGCACAGTAGAGACCCAAGCCTTCCCCTTTGTGTACGGTGAACCCTCAGAGATCTGTGCAAATGCAGAGTGAAGCAATAGGTTGAGGGATGGAATATTTTGTGTGTGTGGAATATTTTGCAATTAGGGGTTTGGAACGGGTCCCATATGAAGAGAGAGTCAAAAGACTTGGCATTTCATCTTAGGAAAGAGGAGATTAAGGGGGGATAGGATAGAGGTCTATAAAAACATGACGAGGGCGGAGACAGTGAATAAGGAAAAGTTATTTACTTATTCCCACAATATAAGAACTAAGGGTCACCAAATGAAATTAATAGGCAGCTGGTTTAAAACAAACCAAAGGAAGTTTTTCTTCACTTAGCACACAGTCAACCTGTGGAACTCCTTGCCAGAGGATGTGGTGAAGACTAGGACAATAACAGGGTTCAAGAAAAGAACTAGATAAGTATTGATGGACCTAATATCCATGAATTTATTAGCTAGGATGGGTAAGGAATGGTGTCTTTAGCCTCTCCTTTGTCAGAAGCTGGGAATGGATGACAAGAGAGGGGTCACTTGATGATGACTTGTTCTGTTCACTCCCTTCGAGGCACCTAGCATTGGCCACTGTCAGCAGACAGGCTACCTGGCTAGATGGGCCGTTGGTCTGACTCAGTCTGGCCGTTCTTACATTCTTGATCATCTGAGCCTGCAGACTAACCATGGGTACGTCTAAACTACATGGCTCCGTCGACGGAGCCATGTAGATTTGTTTGTTCAGCAGAGGGAAATGAAGCGGTGATTTAAATAATCGCGGCTTCATTTAAATTTAAATGGCTGCCGCGCTGAGCCAACAAACAGCCGATCAGCTGTTTGTCGGCTCAGCACGGCAGCCATGTAAATTTAAATGAACTGGCTATTTTAATCGCCCCCTCATTTTC